AAACCAATAAACATTCATAGCCACATATATCTGTCAATATGACTTTAAGAACTAATTAAAATGAAATATACTTTTCCAGACTTGTGCCATAAACATTATAGATGACATCAATGTATATTTTCCATTCATAAAATGTATGGAAGCGAAAGATACAATGCCGGATAAAGCTGCAGAGAAGGTATATGTAAATTTTTTTTATTAGCTCGACTTTTTTTTTTTTTTTTTAAAGTAGAACTATTATAGTCATGTCGGCGTTACCAATGCCGTTGCGGTTGGCGTTGCCGTCCGCAAACTTTATGTTGATCATAACTTTTTAAGTTCTTGGTGTATTGTCTTCTTACTTGGCCACAATAACCCTTGGGAAAGTGCCTTTTAGTAGAGTAGACAAACCTTGACCATCATCTTTAAAAGACCTTGACCTTTTAAGGTTAAATGTCTAAATTTTGCTCGTTTTTCGCTGAATTTTTATATTAGACTAAGTGGCTTTAACTTTGTTATTTTTGAATGGATTAATTAATTTATTCTCTTTTCAAAAACTAGTATGACTAAACAGACCTTTCAAAATGAAAAAGGAAAACTTTACTTTTTTCTTTATGGTTTGTTTAAACGGTTTATTTGTTTGCTTTTATACTGTAAAAATTAAAAAAGTCGAGCGTTACCCCCTCCCGGCGGTGGCTCTTGTTTCTTATTTGAAGTTATTTCACACTTATCTCCGGATCAAGGTGTATCATGTCTGTATAGCTCGAAGCTCCTCAAGGAATAACAATTGCCGGCGGTACCCACGACAATCCTGCTCAATTTAGTCTGGTCAACTTCTACACCGTGTCATAATTCTCCGTATCGAAATACTCTTAATTAACAATGGACAGTTACACAATAAAAGCAGAATAAGTCCACTATGCAAGTAAGCAGCAGGGAAGATGTAAGTCTAAGTTTGAAATAATTCACACATGGCACTTGCCGTCTTCTACAGCATAAAGTCAGAACATTGTAAATTTTAAATCTTCTTCTTACTCACATTGAGGATCAATCTGAATTTCAAACTTTGCCAAAAATAATACTGACAAATGAAATATGAATTTGTGGCATTTATTTTATCTGTTTACAGTGCGCAAATGCTATGAAAATAGATTTAGCTCCAATTATGTCATGTGCAAACAGTGACAAGGGAAATTTGCTCGAACATGAGATGGCTTTGAAAACGGAAGCATTAAGACCAAACCAAACGTATGTTCCATGGATCACAATCAATGGGGTAAGAAATGTATCAACATTATACAATTTTATAACTTTATTTATTATTCATCCAGAAGATCTTTGACACATGTGGCAAAACATATATGAATACAAATATGGAGATAAGGTAAAATGCATCACAAATACAAGTATCATACCGTATCATATAATGCTTACAACTAGAAGAAAAAGGGGTGTCTGTGGCCGAGTGGTTAAGATCGTTGACTTCAAACCACTTGCCCCTCACCGCTGTGGGTTCGAATCCCAACAGCGACTTTGGATTCTTTCATGTAATGAAGCTATCCAGCTAGCTTACGGAACGTCGGTGGTTCTACTCAGTTGCCCGTTCGTGCTTGAAATAATGCACAGACGGGTACGTTAGGTCTTCCTCAACCAGTAAAGCTGGATAGTCACCAAATGACCTATACTGTGTCGGTGTGACTTAAAACCCAATCAAAAACAAAACAAACTAGAAGAAAATCTCGTACAAGTTATATGGTAAAATATTCGTTACGTCACTGGTTTAATTTGATTAGCCTTCGAGATGAATTTCATTCAAGTTATATTAACAGTTTCATGGTGTCACTGTTTTTGCGACGGACGCGCCCTCAGGCGCGTTCAGAGCTAAGTCATCTACATGGGATTTCGTCTGCTACAATCGCGCAAAGTGTCCTCAACCGATTAACAGCCCAAGAAATAGTACATGAATTTGATCCTTTAAAACTCCCATACTATGTCGGGATATCTTAAAATCTACCATATTTAGCCTTTTCAATTTCAAATTAAGTTATCCAAGTTAAAATATGAACGTATATGATTGATAAAAACGTTGTAGTCCCGTACGTAGTATTATTGCGCAATATGCAAATTACTGCCGAAACGATTTACCGCTGTCGAAAAAGTAGGGCAGCAAATTATACTATAATAAAGGTGTAAGCTCTGAGTTCCAATAAATTATTAGTAGGAAATAAATATTTTACATTATACAAAACATTATTATTAACAAATCAAAAGTTTTCGTGACTCTAGAATAACTCGCGCATTAATCAAACAAGAACTATTTTCGTGACTCATACCGCGGGATTAGCTGAATGTTCAGCAGTTATTAATAAATTAGATTCAGTACAATGGTTAGTATAAATATATATTTTTGAAAATTCATGTAACAAGAGAGTTTTTTAACACTTAACCACCATGTAGTCTTTCATGGTAATCTTTATTGAAGGAACTTATAATATCAGTTCTACTTCCGATTCTTGTGGTTTGTTTACATATTTTTCTTGGTCACGATAAGAGTTAACCTTCGCTATTCTATAAATAGATTCTGCTTTACCTGTGCTGATTTTCGGACAGTAGGGAGTACACATTATACATGTTATTAACCAAAGGGACCCGGCACAGTGTTGGGATAGTGTAAAAAAAGTAATTCTAGAAAAAAAATGTACTTTATATATAATATATAGACAAGGGGTTGAACTCGCCAAATCGGCCGAACGCCCCTAGTCCAGTATAAGTCAAAATTGCAAAGTCATTCTTGCGTAAATCATATAAAGCTATATATCAAATTGCAGCTAAATGACATCGCTAGACGTTGACAATAACATTACTGTCCCAACTTAAACCGTTTTTGAACAACAAACCGATATTTCGGATGACACATCGTATTTTTGCTAGGTCGGACACAACCGTGCAACCTGTCCCCACTCAATTTTCTACGTGTAAAAACGCAATTCCAAACCATTACATTATATCAACCCGCAATAAATCGATAATACAAAACAAAAGAAACAACTTACCGCCGGAAATTGATTGTTAAAATGTTTTATAGCGTCTGTAAACAATTAATTCCTGAATGTGAAAATGAAAGTTGTAATCAGCATCCATTGGCTATCACGTGACCAATTTGAAACGGATTATTTCATTGGTTGATTAAAATACAAAGCATTGCTGGGTCACAGACTCGTCCAATCAAACGATGTCTTACAACCGTTGCCGAGTATGTATCATGGCTTCAAAAAAATATTTTGACGGAAGAGAAATAAAAAGAAATGAATGTTTGCTATAATTGATTGGTTTTGGAACAATTTCCAGCGGTAAATTGTTTATTTTGTTTTGTTTTATCGATTTATTTCGGGTTGGTATAATGACATGGTCTGGAATTGCGTTTTTAAACGTAGAAAATCGAGTGTTGACAGGTTGCACTGTTTTGTCCGACCTAGCAAAAATACGATGTTTCATCCGAAATATCGGTTTGTTGTTCAAAAACGTTTTAAGTGGGGACAGTAATGTTATTGTCAACGTCTAGTGATGTCATTTAGCTGCAATTTGATATATAGCTTGATATAATTTACGCAAGAATGACTTTGCAATTTTGACTTATACTGGACTAGGGGCATTCGGCCGATTTGGCGAGTTCAACCCCTTGTCTATATATTATATATATACAATATATATTTTTTTTAAAAAAATCACTTTTTTACACTATCCCAACACTGTGCTGGGTCCCTGTGTTATTAACCAGCGGATACTTACTTTGTTCACATGCAATACTTTTAAAATTCTATACAATTGTAAGAAGCAAACAAGTTGAAAATGGAATTTAGTGTGAAAATGAAAAGGACAACTAAACACTGTATTGCTTAAGTGACATTTAAATTAAAATAAAAACGATTGTAAATAAAAAACACTAAAAAATACACTATTAATTGCTGATGATTTTTAATGAGCGTACATATCCAAGAGAAATAAAAATACATATGACTTATATTTTATTGTCTGTATGTCCACTATGTTAAAACACGAAGCAATTCTAAATAACATTCTACCATGTATAATGTATAATGCTTGAAGTTTATTTACATGGTTTTATTTTAGAAATATTTCGTTGACAGTTTTTTTCTATTTACTTATCATTTCTTGAAATAAATCGATGATGACACTGATTTACAAGTTTGACCAGAGTTTTTAGGCATAAATTTCATTCTGTATTTAAATGCTTGAAAGTAGAAAATCTGGATTATATCAGATTGGGACACAAAATATATTGCTCTACAAATCTCGAACTTGTATAGAACAAATTTTCTCTGTTATATATTTTGTGTTTATTTTTTTTGTCTTAAAAAAAACTAAATGTCTTACCGGTTGCATGTCCGCCGCATTCAGTGCTGCAGCACTTTGATTTTATATTAAACATTACATACATGTTAAATTATGTAAATGATAAGTTTATAAAAAAAGCAAATGGGTTGGGCAACAAGTTCAGGCAACATTAGATTAAGCCCTTCCCAGATGTTTATTTTTTTAACCTTTTAACAAGCCCCAACAATAAAAGGATGACCCCATTTATTCTCCCCGTAAAAATGATCAGTATATGGATCGGGAAACCATCCCATACTGAAGATTTTAAAAGAGTGGGCTGTGGTCATACCCTAACTGGCCTCGTTTTCTTGAATAAAAAGGATGAAAAAAGACAGGTGATTGGGATCTCTTTTTTTTAAACTTGATTAGTCTTTGAGTCTGTCGTTTTCATGTATAATGTATTTATTTGTGTTCGGTGCTCTCGAATGATCTCCCCGTTTTCAGAATTATATGTCCACAACTGCAGGTCAGAATTATATGTCCACAACTGCAGGTCAGAATTATATGTCCACAACTGCAGGTCAGAATTATATGCCCACAAGGCCACAACTGCAGATGTGCCGTTTAGAAGGTGTAAACAGTTCTCCATTCCGCATTTCAGCGTTCTTAATATTTTCTGATTCCTTCAGATTAAGTAAATTACTTCTGAAGATTAAACAGATGCTTTGGAGATGCTTTGGTAGTTTAGCACGGAGGAAGATAGTCTAGTACTGATGTAACTCTCCAGGAACGATGGTTAGGAAACTACCCGCCTATATGACTGAAATACTGTTGGAAAAAGGCGTAAAATGAAACAAACAAACAAACAAAATAACATAATATTATACTGTATATATAACACAATTTAAGAAAGAAATAATGGACAAAGAACATTTAAGTGTCTCTTTTGCATACATGTAACGTTTAACTAATGGTATAAGAAGTTCGATCTTATAGACATTTATTATACAAAAAGTTTAATTAAAATGCGTCATTTTAAAATTTATTGTCTGAATATGGTGTTTGTGGTACGTTTAGAAGGGCAAATCAGTTGTGTTCTTGCAGATTTCACATAAACGCAATTGAAAATGATTTCTTTTAAAGTAAATAATTATGCCTGATACTATATTGATACTAAAAACTATTTGAGCCGTGTCACGACAAAACCAACATAATGGGTTAGCGACCAGCATGGATCCAGACCAGCCTGTGCATCCGCGCAGTCTGATCAGGATCCATGCTGTTGGCTATCAGTTTCTTTACTTGTTATGGGTCTGTAAAGCATACAGCATGGATCCTGATCAGACTGTGCGGATGGGCAGGCTGCTCTGGATCCATGCTGGTCGCAAACCCATTATGTTGGTTTTGTCATGACACGGCTCATTTGTTTATGGTGAGGAATATTTAGAGAAATAACAATGTAATAAGACTTGCAAATAGCAAATTTATCAATTTGTTAACGATATACAGCGAAGCACGTTTTTCACAATCATGGTCTTACCACAGAAGTATGAAAACATTTTCTGTTTTAAAGGTTCATACAGAAAAGATGCAAGATATGGCACAAAAAGATTTACTGAGTCTGATTTGCGACACATACAAGGTACAATATTTCAATCTGCCTGAGAAATATAAGTTCGTGTGTTCTGGTCATAAGCGTTGTCTGACCAAACTGGCAGGGTTCGGGCGCAAACTGTTGTTTGGGTGTTGTCGATGCACTGCGCATGTCCTGTTCTTGGTGACCGCCACAAGAGAGACTGTGCTTATGGTGAGGGGTTCGACTAGAGTAAATCTATGAGGTCACTGTAATCTAACCGTTCTAAGTTTTCGCGTTGTCTTATCTAACTAAATACTGTGCTCATAGTTAGCGCCCGAGCCCTTCCCATACTACATGATTTGTCTGACATCGGTTTTAAAATAATAGCAGTAAGAATCTGTTCCAAAAGTTCGTAAATGTTTTCGTGTTTACACGTGTAGACGAGATTTTCTCGTATATAAATGTGATTTTGTGAAGGTTAAACGCCATTTATACTGGGTTCAACAATATTTATATACATAGATTTGTACAGTTAAATGTGGTTCAAATAAATTATACAAGTGCATTTAGTCTTAATAAATAATGTTTAATGACACCTGTTGATAAGGATATTGGATACTTGAAATTACATCATTCAGTTTTTAAATCATCCACCTTTTTGTTCTTTTTGAAAACAGGGAAATCCACCAAAAGTTTGTCATCGGCATATTCAAGGAAAGGACTTTGTCGAAAAAAGAGGGCAATGCTTGAAGTGACATATTTACACCAGATTTTGCAAAAAGTGAATCAAAAGATGAAATAGAAATAAAGAAGGAAAAATGATTTCAAAACATTAAAGTTAAGGAAAAAATAAAAAAAAATATGTATATCATCTTTAAATAATTTAATTCTCGTTGTTCAAAGACTGTCTCCCGTAAATTGAGAATAATTTCCAGCAAAACAATTGTAAAGATTTTCTTAGGAAATACCAGTATATCAATATATCTCAAACGTTATTCATATTGTGAAACTAACAAGTTATTATTTTAGTATCGCATGAAAGGAAAATTTGAAGAAAAAAAATCTGAAGAAGTCTGTTGTCCGTTTGATTTTATAGTTATAGAGCAACCATCTACCAATATTGTTCAAATTACATGTTGCATTTTGATTTGATGAAAAGAAAAAAATAATATAACAAAAGAAATAAATTGACAGTGTCTTTCCTTGCTATATATATACCGTGTATTTATTGGGGGAATTTGTACCTTGAAACTACATGTACTTTGAAAATCACCTTGGTCAATGTTGTTAGTCAGATTTTGAGACGTGACAGATAACCAGTATTAAGGGATGGAGATGTGTTTCCCTTTGCACCTTTTTTGTATTTTCTTTTTAATTTCTTAAAACGCAAGCGATAAAGGGCCGACATGTTGTTTTTGTTTGTTTTATTGACATTATTATGTTAATGACATTATTTCAATTTGAGAAAGACGAAACCTGTTTTTTTTTTTTTTGTTTTACATTGTTATCTGAAATCTGTTTCTTTTCTTTTTTATGGTTAAAAAGAAACTATGTTCTTTGCATATTTTGATTAGATAAAATAGTGACACCATGTTTCTGTTGTGTCTAACGCATTATCAACATCGCTCATTAATGATCCCTAAATATGCTTAAATTCGGAATGACTAATGACTTGATTTTACAGAAATAAGAAAAATGGGAATAAAACATTTATAAGCAACCACATTTTTTCAATGATTTATTCTTTATTTTACCAGGCAGGGATATGGGTTATTGTACTACATCAAGGTTTCAACATAAAAAAAGCCTGTCATAAAAACAAACCTTTATGCATGTTGAAAGTAAGTTCATACTAAAATGTCTTTCTCTGCTGATAGGTCAGATTAATTTGCTATGTAGCACATACAGTATATGTGAACGACAACGGATAGTTATGTACGCTGTAGTAATAAGACCAAAGGGCAGATAAAAGGCATTTCAGTAAGATTTTGAATAAATATAAAACATTCATGTCGTAACAGAACAATAAAATCATATATTTTAAAATAACATTGCTTCCCTTAAGATTGCCGGCGGTCTGTTACCTGCAAAATCTTGTGGGCTTTGAGATACTTTGACCCGACTTTTATTGTCTGTTTCTCTTTTTTTTAGTACAAATGAAAAGCATTACTTATTTCCAGAAACTATCCTTTCTTATTTCTTATCTTGTGAAAGACTGGTTAACGATAACAACTTTAATTGTTCGAATGGCGGGAAAGTAAGAATTTCTTATTGGTCGAATTGCACCTGCGAACAAAAGCAAAATATCGGTTATTTCCGTTATTTCCCGGATAAGCTCATAGTGCTCGGTGATATTGTAGCTATATAAGTGTTTACAGTTACTTTTTTTCTAAACATGAAACATTAAAACGCAAACGTTGTACGTAGTAATAATCTTTTCCATTTTATTTCGTCTCATGAGAAGGAAGAACTATATTTGATGAAACTCGCTGAGACGTGACTATATTTAAATTCGTCTAGAAATCCAAAGCATTCAGAATGTATATGCAGCGCGCCATTTTGTTCTATGGACAGCGTCTTTTTGATATCAGGTAGTTTTACTTCTAGTAAGGATTTTAACACAGATATTAGCAGCAGACGAAAAAACAGTATGATCGGAATGAATTAATCAACCCGGCCCTAAGTTAACCCGGCCCCAATACTCGTCCTTGTGAAAGTATAAGAATAAAATGAAGACGCAAAAAGCGGCAAGAATATACACAATGCATATCATCAATGAAGACAAAATGACTTCTTCTGAATTCGGAGATGCCAATGGGGAACAGTTTTCGAATAAATGTCTTTTTGCGACAATTTTCTTTCTTAGCTTGGTAGGTCTTTACGCCAATTATGATAAATTTTTGTCATATCATCTCGGCGGCCGATCCAAATAGCCGGCTTTCCATGACAACTTACTTCTCCGTAAGTTAGAGAAACTTTAGATTGCAGAATCAGCGGTCAGAGTCAACTTGCCACAAGACTCCGGGATCAATTTTCACGGGGAATTTTGTCTCGCTGGAAAATCGAACCAGCGACGTGACGCCTAGATTACAAATCAAATTCTGAGCAATATAAATAAAAAACATATAAATGAATGGTCCTATCTGCGAAATGTTAACTATTTAGATAACATAACATGTCATAGAAATGCATACATAATGTTTTGACGACGATTAAAACATACTGTAAATATGTTGTAGTGGATTGCATGTATGATACATGCGCGGTTGGCGTGAGTGAAATTGTCCACGTGACTGACCGATAATGATATACAGCTAGGTGGCCCAGGGGGGACGACCGCACGCATAGCAACCGTCATGAAGTTCTGGCAAATTATGTTAGCTCTTGCAAAAATCGCACCAGCGGGTACTTGCATCAATGCATCATAAGTTTTAGTCGTCGCAGAAATAACAGTTGTTGCCGAAGAAGTTGTCTTGTACGGTACGATGGCTGTCAGTTTCCTGGTGGATGTAAACGTTGAAGTCTTAGTTGAAGTCGATGTTGTTGTAGTGAGTGTTGTTGTGGTGGTAGATGTTGTTGTTCTTGTTGATGTCCGAGTACTAAACACAGTAATTACAAGCCTGGTGACACTTTCTTAAAACAGAAATACATACACGTTTTTGATTAATGAGTCAACGTGCATTTTATTTTTTCTGACACACATGTCATTAATGTGCATAATTTAGAGAAAACAATTCAAGAGCATTATAAGTTGCTCGACATTTTCACGATAATCAAAATAAATCATTTTAATACTAGTACTGACAATATATTAAGACTATAACAAGTTTTATTTGTGAACGTTTGTATTAAGCTTACAAATGAGACCGATCCAAAGTCTCAGCAAAAGAGCGCATTCGTGCTCCCAGGTGGACAAAAAAGTGGCACAACGATTCGGTACGTACGTAAACATAGACTAATACATGTTTGTCAGCCGAGTACGGGTCAAAATCAATTTACTTAATAATATTACTAAATACATTAAATGGGATTACTCACAACCGCCAGTAGCATCTGATACACGCGAAATTCGAGTTTCTTTCGATTGCTTGTGCGAAACGTTGCGGTTTCGTTGCTTTTGGCCAATCAGAAGATTCCTTACAAAATACCGAGCAGCTGATTTACAATGGTGTAGGAACTTCACTAGGAAGGAATCGTAAAATCGTTTTGAGGTTTGAAACTCGAATTTCGCGTGTATCAGGTGCTACTGACGGTTGTGAATGGTCCTATAACTCGTGCCTGTGGTAAAATGTTGGTAAAGACTGAATTCAATATTTTACATCGCAACAAATGGGAGAGAAAAACGAAGAATGAAAAATCGTAATTTATACCGCATATAAATTCGTTTATGTTTTATTAGTAACCATCACCAATTTCTTTAAGATATGTATTTCAAGCCTATACTGTAACGTTAATTAATCTGTTCCATATGTCTGGAATTTACAACTGTATATATATATTTCTTTGATCTTATGACTGCACAATAACAGCAGGAGGTGCGCAAATTGTACACTTTCACATGGGAAGGGAGATTAAGTTGTAATGAATCACGCAAAACCCTTTCATTCTTTGAAATGCTCGCTATTGACAACTTCTATACAGTACCATTTTCTTTGAAATGGAATAACATTTGTAGTTAAATACTGCAATACTTATATATATTTTTTTTTTTTTTCTTCCCTTACCTCCCCTCCACCCACCGGAACTAGAAGTGAGATAAATAACTTCATTTAACTTGGATATTTTGTATTTTAATGGAATAGTTTTTGTAGTCTCTATGTATCACATTGGACTTTACCTGTATAAGTTTCCTTTTGTTTTTGTTTTACTTTATATTTTTGCATAACATTATCAGCCTACTAACTTGAAGTTAAAGGTTTGTAAAATATTTTTCAAGGATGTGTAGCCATACATCAAGTGGTACTAGACACAAGATAAAAGGGCACAGGTTTCCAGACTATGATTTTTCCTGGGCGAGTCGACCACGATTTGAGAAATATTTTATGAACAGTACTTTATATTATATA